GCATGGCTGTCTTCGGGCCGACGCGGTATGCCGGGCTTTTGCCCTGGCGCAGCGGCAATCTGTCCGGGCCTTCCGGGTCGGCCAGCTCCTGCCCCGGTCGACCTCCGGCACATGGCCCATGGCCACATGGGGCAGCAGCCACGCGGAGCCCAGAGCCGTGCCGCCAACGGCGCTTTGGACGGCGACAGAGAGCATGCCCCACCGCCGCCGCGCCCAGCCGACGAGGCGCTTGCCCTGACGGCGGGCCCCGCACGCAGCGCCCTGACGCTCACGAGTTGACGCACATGTTTCCGTGCGCCACCTGGATTTTCATGGGTTTGTACACGCGTAGTACAATAAGCAACATATCTGGGAGATGGTGGAGTCTCGGTAAGCTTTACAAGCGACGACCATCAGAACAAGGGCTCAGGATTTTTTGTCAATAGGCACGCACATGTTTCTTAAAAAACGTGTCTTTTCAACTACTGGTGAAATGCATTTACCAGCGTTTTGGTTTCGCTTGGTTATACCGAGTCGCCAGCCAAGTTCGTTTAAGATTTGTTATCTTGCGATTTGCAGGGCGAGGTCATGGAGCACTTCTGGGATTGTTCCTGCTACATGAGTTGTCAATGGGTTGGCACATTCCGTTCACCGTCCATCAATCTGATGAAGATCATAGCCTGACGTTGCGCTCGAACAAGCTCCTTTCGTCAGGTGAGGCGACTTTGCAGGTTCGCCCCTTTGTTCAGCGCGCGGTGTGTCGCTGGTGACGGCGGATCTGGGCCAAAGTCCGCCGAGGCCTCGGGCCGTAGGAGTCGAGGCGCCCCACCTCTAATCCCCTCCGCAACAGCCCGCACAGGTTTGCACCCTTTTATTTTGGATGTTTGGCCTAAAACGGGTCCCCCCTAGCCGACAAATGTCCGGGAGCAGACGGTGCATCAGGACCAGGGGCACTTCCAGGGCACCCGCCCAACCCACCCCCCCTCGACCTTACCCTCACCAAACCCCCCCAACACACAGCCCCACACCCCACCCATCTTACAGAAGCTCAGGCCCAGGCGGGTCGCGTAGCGTGAAAATTAATAGCATGGCAGCCCCACAGGGCCTTCCCTCCCAGTCCTGCCCGCGAACGCAAGCCCAAAGCTTCCTGTGGCTCCCGCACGACGCCGGTGGCCGGTTCGACGCCCCTCTTCGAGGTGACCGCCGGGCAGGGCGGCCGCAAACTGCACGGCCCACGCTTGTCGACTTGGCTGAGCGTTTGTGCCGTGGTAGAAGCGTGCAGTTCGGACAATGGCTCTCGCGGTGCCTACATCGCATCACACGCAACTCGACATTGCGGCGCCCTCGACGAGAAACAAGGCTTCGAGCTTGCTTGTGTACACGGCGCCGGCGCCGCCCGTGGAAGCCCACCCCCCACACAGGTCGACGAATATCGAAGCCGACCATCCAGGCTCCAGGGAAATGCACTGGCAACGCACCGTGCGTGCACTGGCTTGCCCGCGAGCGTTGCTCCCGAGTCCATGTGGGACCCAGGCCATGCTGGAGCCATCCCGCCGAGCACAGTCCCCGGCCAAAAGAACTTTTGGCTCTACATCCCTTGTTGCACGCAGGGCCTTTGGCAAGCGGGCCGACTGGTCATGAGGGTCGGCCGCAGCGGCGGCGTGTGCTCCTGCGCCGCCGCAAAGGTTTGGCGCGAGGGGCAGGGGCAGGCGCGGCGGAAGCGTTATGCCCAGACAGAGGCACGAGTTTTTGATGTGCGTTTCCGCGAAGCTGTTGCTAGCCTCCCGATGTTTTGCATGGTTATGCTCCGCCGACCTGTTGCGTCGAGCCCGAGCTCACAGAAATCATCAACGTCTCACGATGCGGGGCACTGCCAGTCCCATAAGTGGTTTTCCCCGCCCCCCCTAATTCATTCGGGTTTTGGTTCTTCGCGCCGCCCTCAGAAGCAGGGTTGCGCATGAAAGACCTACACTTTGCTTTTTCGTCCAACGGGCCTCGCAGTTGCCCAGCAGTTACTTCAATCTAAAGCAGTCAGTCGCCGCATGTGGAGATCGTGGCCTGTCCACAGCAACCCGAATCTGCAGAAAGGCTCCTATTGCCAGTAACCCGCAATGTGCTCCCAAACGGCACGCGGGCCTGCGCCGAAAGGCAATGTGCTGCTGTCTTCCTGCCTCCGTGCCATCATATCTGTTTGCGTATCGCTCATGCCCCATGGAGTTCGCCGGCCGGGTGGGCTGCCCTCTGCAACTCTCTGCCTGCAGCCGTGCATGGATTTCCCCCATCGGCCCCCGCCGCTGCATGCATGGCTGCGTGCGTGATGCGATGGTCAAGCTGTCCTTCGCGGCCTTTGTCGCCTCGGCCCTCTACGCTGGGACTGTGTGCTCGGCTTCGGCTGCTTTTTCAAATTTCCTGCAACAAGTTGTGTCATCGACGAAATTGGGCCAGCTTTCGGCGTACCAGGGTCCGCGAGACCGACCATCTCAAAAGCTCCATCTGCCTCACCAAATGGCAGCGAAGGCGCGAGCAGAATGTCCAGCGCAAGCTGCGAAGCTGCATACCAGCAAACCAAGCCAGCCACGTTTCAGTTCGTCGCGACACCACCATTCTTCGGCACGGCGCTGCGTTTGGAGCAGTAGGCAGCGTGCCTTCGTATCAATCGTTCGTGAAGCGCCGATGTGCAAAGCTAAGTAAAGCTGTGCATCAAACCACATGCGCTGCAGACCCTCAATTTCATGCAGCTACAGGATTCGAGAGTTGGAAAGTCTAGGCGGATTGAAGTGTGGGGTTCTAAGGTTAAAGCCTTCCAGATACGCTCTCCCCTTGCGCATGCGCAACAGCCGTGGGTTGCGGCTGCATTCCCACTCGGCAATTTTTTGGTCGCCAGGCCTGTAGGTTGGTCTTTCGCCAGGCCCCAGAAGTTAACAGACCCCCCCGTTCAAAGGCACAAGCTCACGTGGCTAACAACGCCAGGCGCTCTGCCGCTCGACCAAACGAACTGTACAGGGTGCAAAAGATCGCTGTCCCGAGTGCAACTCCACGTAACTCCACCATTCATCCATCTGTGGCATGCGCAAGTGGCGCAAGTGGCAAGGGCATCCTTCCGGACGCCTCTGCCAGCCTTGCGGCTCTCAGAAAATCGCGTGCAAACACTACTGTACAGTACCGGCAGCACTTCGATCTTCCAGGTCCTGCCAGCGCAGACAAAACACTTTTGGAAAGCCTTTCTCAGCCTTCTCCTACATCGAAGCATATCGTCGCCAAGCGGCACCGGGGTAGGGGCGGAAAGGACGCGTTCGGCTCACTCGCGCGGCCTTGGTGCGCACTAGGGCGAAGTCACAGAAACAGCATTCATGCCAGCACCTTCACGACACACAAGCCAGCTCTAAGACTTAAAGCCTTGCCTGTAAAATGCTGCTTAGTTCAGTACTGAGTCACATCCCCTACATTGAAGTTGATGCCAATCCCAGCAATTCCTGACTCATACGAAGATGTGCCTTCGCCCTTCGTGTTGCAATCCCAGCAGCTCTGTCAAGGCGTCCGTTTCAGACACCAGTGGTTCCAGCTGCTGCTGCTTAACCCTCGATGTCATTCGAAGAGCCACACAAGTGAACGCCGCCAGGACAGCGAACATGCCTCCCATAGCCAAGACCAGTGTGTTCGCGGCTTGGGCATGTTCTGGCTGCTCTGGGCTGTTGGATGCTACCTCACAACTTTTCAACATCCATCCAACATCTTCGAACCCCGTCCGGAGACTAGGCCGTGCCTGCCAGGGCCAGCACACCCAGAGACCTGCAAGTAAGAAATGCGTAGCAAACAAAGCAAAGAAGTTCGTGCATGGACTCGAAAAACCCTCAATTAAAGGCACCCGCCCACCCATTTTATAGACCTACTCGGTTGGAGCCTCTTGGGATTTCTGGCGGCCGTCCCGTCCTATCATCCCACCCTACAACCCTAGTTTTTCTTCCGAAAGTGCAATCACAAGGGGGCACCCAAGCGACCCCAAAAAAAACCCTTTCCTCTCAACCTCTCTGGGGCCCCCGGCCGTTGCGGGCTACTGACTTTGACGCCACGCAGGGCGCTCGCCAAGCCCAAAGTGCCGTCGTAGACCTAAACTTGCTCATACTCTGGTGTGGGGTTGCGAGATTTTAAGCACAAACTCTTCTCCTCGCCCCGTCTACTCCTTCGCCCATCGCCCGTATCCCACCCCAAGATATCCGCAGAGAGTTCCTGGAGTGCCCAACCCCGAGAATCCCGAGATTGCCCTACCGAAGAGCTGAATCCAACCCCCTGCCCAAGATATTTCTCAGAGAGTCCCTGAAATGGCCAACCCCTACTGTCCCCAAAAAGGGCGCCTTGAAAAGAGTAGCATACTCAGGACTCTTCTGGGGATGTTTTCTGAGGCTACTCTGTTTTAGGCGCCTCCTTCTTTTCTTTATGGGTGATGCGCGGGCTCATTTTTCACAACCAAAATTTTCTAACCACCCGAAAATTCCCCTCAGCAAACATGGCACTCAAGAGTTGGGATGCTTGACCTGCTCCAATCACGTTGGTGCACTCAGGCTTCTTTCACGGGAAGCCTCCGCTTCAGGTTCGGGGCATCTCGTTCTTAAAACACTCACCCTGGAGCAACTCCTCAGAGTTCCGTGCCCTGCAAATGATCTTAATCCTCCAAGCCACCTGTTCGGCTGGCTCCGCAACTCCAATCCGGGCCTATCACCAGGGCTTGGGGAAGCTCGTGATCCGACATTTTGTGCCATTTCCATGCAGCCACTGTGCACGCTTCACACAAGATGTGCTGAAGAACTGCTCATTACGGCCGCAGATGCGCCTAGCTGCCTAGCAGCACACCCTCTTTGTAGCGTGGTCTCGTCAATCCCAGGCATCGATGTGAGATTGGCCCCATCCCAAGACAACCGTGATTTGTACCCTACAGCTCCTACAAAAAAGATTGCCAGGTGCTATTGGCACCGGAAGGCTGTTCGGCTTTAGGACTGCCTGCAAGGAGTCTTGAATGTTCGGGATCATTTGGTCCAGTGAGCAGGGCATCTACGGTGTCGAACCTCAATCATGAAAGCCGTGGCCTCGTCGAAGTCGAAGGACACCACGAAGCGCTGCAGGAACATGCCGCCCAGGACCCACAGCTCCTCGGAGTTCCATATTGCATCCGAATCCCTGAACCCTTGCACCGCGGGACCCAATCATACCTCAAACCCTCCAAAACCCAAGTCAGGACACTTGTTGGCACTGCTTACTACGGATCAATATAACACAGAAAAAAAGAACTTCAAGTCCAGGTATCGGGGCCCTGCTCCTCCTCGGGAACGTTGCCTGCAGGATCGAGCGGAATCTCCAAGATGCCACCCTGAGAGTTGTCTTTGCTTGGGAAAAGCTGCTGACGCGCGGGGCTCACTCGGGCTCCTGGTTGAGGGTGCGTTTTAGGGAGTTCTACCTTGCTTGGGGTATAAATAGGACGTCCGTCCTCCTAGACTCTGGACAATGACACGAAAGCCGAGGCGCCATGGGCACCACCAGCTGCAGCCGCCTGACCTCGTCGGCCATGTCTGCCCGAGGCTTCGAGCAGTCTTCCTTTCCTGAAGGCCCAGGTATAACTCACAAAAACACAAGGAAGCAGCAAAGCCAGGCAACCAGACGAGCTCGGGATTCGGGATCCCCAGAGATGTCGGGGACATCTTGACCTATAGGGCATCCGAGGCTCGGCTCTTCTCCTTGCCGTTGACAACGACCAGGGTGGTCTTGCACACCGTCCCATCCGGTCGGGTGTGGATCTGCTCCTGAATTTGCTCCGACAAGATGCCTGAGCCAAGTCGCCCGATGTGAAGGCCTCCCATGGAAAATGGCGAGCTGCCAGGGCCTTTACCGTTCGCATCGCCAAACAGGGGCAGGCCAAGCTTTGGCAAAGCACCCAAGCCCGCTTGGCTGTCCACAGGTCCCTGCCCAGTCGCAGGGGCTCCGGCGGCTCTTCCAGTGGTTCCAGTGGCCCCAGTGGCCCCAGTCAGGCCGTTGCCGAAGAGCGGCAGATCAAGCCCTTGAAAGGGTGAGGGTGGTGCGGAGTCGGAGCTCCGCTGATGCTCCGCCCCGTCTCCGAAAAGCGGCAGGCCAAGCTTTGGAAAGGGAAACGGGAAGTCGTCGAGCTTCGGCAAGTCTCCGAGTAGCCCTGATGCAGGGGGGCTTTGTGCCACCTATACCGGCCTACCGCACACTAGAAAACCCAAAGAATTCTTCCCTTTTAAGTCCCTTTTCGTCACTCCCGGAAGCCTCCAAGGCCTCCAAAGGGCAGGGGGAGCGGAGGCGCCGTCCCTCCGAGGCCACTGATCTGCAGGTTGTTTGGCTGGATCGCCAGCATGCACGCCTCCCCAGGCCCTCCGGAAGTCCTGGCGGGTACCCGGATGAACATCTCCTCCACAGGCAACTCGAACGGGCGCTCCGCGATGAAGATGCGGAGAGGAGGGAGGTCCCGTGAGGCATCTACAATGGAGCAATCACAGAAGACAACACCACCTTCCATGTGGTCCATGCCGCAGAGGTCATTGAACCTCAACTGCACCCACCTACTGCACCACTACTGCGTTGATCATTGGGCTGGGCTGCAAGACATCGAACTGGACAAAGGAGGGAATCTGAGGCATGCACTTGTCACGTGGCAGCACCGACCGCATGATGCTCATGTAGAGCCGGCGTGGGGCCAGCAGCACTTGGTTGGTACCTGGCCCGGCCAAGGCAAAAGACGAAAGTACCAAGAGCATACATAAGATTACACCAGACAAGACAAGAACAAAATCAGCGGCTCACAAGCAAAAATCATGACAGGCTCGCCTGTATCCACAAGGAATCGGGCGGGGTGCGGCGTCTGCTTGTGGACCGCGATCCCGCCGGTGGTGATCCAGAAGCTCCGGTCGCCTGGGAGGCTTGCGGGTTGTGGGATGCAGCCACAGAAGGGTCAGCAGGGGGGAAACGGGGCCGAAAGTTGGCGCACAGGGGCCAACACCCGATCCATGCCAAGAAACCTCCGTGGATGGCCTCGGCATCTGCCCACACCGTAGTGCCCGGCTTCACCGCATGTTGCGGGAAGGGGCCCACAGAGAGATGCGCAGAAGTGCTGCCCTCGGGCACCACCGTGAACATGGCCTCCAGGGGACTCCACAACGCACTCGCACCCCCGTGTAGAAAGTTATGCTCAACTCACACAAAGCCGACCTAATGCCACGACAGTGAAACTCGACGATGGTGGCCCTTCCCACAAGGCCCTTGACAAGGCCTCGTTTGTTCGGTCTCGTAAGGGCCCTCGACAAGTCGGCATCACTGCCTCACCCCTTTGTTTTTCTACTGACGATCAGCCCCTGGACTCCTGAAAGTCTCGTGAAATGGAAGAGAAGGCTTGCATGGGGCATGGGGCATGGGGCACGGCTGGGTGGTGGCCTTGAAGCCCAGGTCCTGGAATCTGGTGTAGAGCGGCTGCCCAAGCCGCGAGATGCTTTGCCATCCGAGGCCACAGATTCCGTCCCAGTCCCTGTTTGGAGGAAGAAGCGCCTCTTCAACGATGATGAAGGTCTGGTTGCGGACGGTATGTCCTGGTCAGGGGATGGGGGTATGTCGGGGTGGGTGTCTTGGCTAGTCTTTCCGCCTTTTGCGGCGGCGCGCGGTCCTCCAAAGCTGACCGTGTCTTGCACCTTGTAGCCTGTGATTTGGCCACTTCCATAGCTGATTTGCACCGACAAAGGGCGGCGGCCCTGTGGCGTCTCATGAAGCTCGGGCACGAAGGTGGAAGACCTGTCGGCATGAAAGAGATGCTCGTTCTCGCAACTCCGGCAGCGTTTGGAAGGGATCCAAAGGTCAGAGCTGCCCGTATCCAGTAGGCAGGTCATCTTCTGCGGTGGGGTTCCCACCAAAAGCTCGGCCACCAAGGCATGGGCGCGCGTGATGCTCAAGTCAAGTTCCGCCTTGTCGAGGACGCTCGTCTCTTTGAGATTGCCGAGGGCGCCAGGGTCCAGGCTTTGCGGGTACTGTGGATGGTGCTGCAGTGGCACCACATCTGGTTGTGCAAAGGCGCCCTTGGCGATCAGAAGCGTAACAAGCAGTTTGGCCATTGCGGGGATACAATACAATATACAACTCCCCGGTTCTTTGAGCCCAGCTGACGAGCACCCAAGCTGTGAGGCTCGAGGAACCGAACCTGGTCCATGGACCGTTTACCTGTTCAAGCTTGGGGGCATCGGCCCCGTCCAACTGCCCTTCCCCAGTTTTCCTGGCGGAGCCCCGACTTTGCGCCAAGCAGAGCTCCAGTTACGCAGGGGGTTGGGGAGGCGGGAGGGTTACAGCACAAGGGTCTGAGTATGTTTGAGTTGCTGCCGCCAAAGAAGCGGTGCAGTGTGTGAGTGTGTGTACTCAATAGCTCTGATCTGACACCGTGCAACCGCTCAATAAAGCACACACAAAACTTCCATTCCGTTCTTGGGTGAGGGTTGCACGTGCAAAGGGAGCTGAGCCAGACCCGGGCGCTTACGAAGCGCTCAGAAGTAAGAGCTGAGCTCGGCGTCCTGCCAGCGCCATTGGCCGAAAAGTCTCCGACCCCAGAAACGTCGGAAAACGACGTCCGCTTTTACATCCAATAAACTCTCTAAACCCAGTTCAAGTCTAAGCATGCCTCCACATGTTCTCCCAGACCTTCCCTCGTCGGGTCCTGCTTGGCCAGCTCCAGGAGCATCGGGTCATCAAAGAATTTGTGGACCGACACGTCCTGCGACAGCACATTCGGAAAGCACAAAGCCCATTTTTAGGATTCCATCAGGTTTTAATTTCTTTCTATTGCCTTATTTGCTTACTTGCTTTTGGTTTCGCTGAAGTGTGGTGACCGTGTAGGTGCTCGCTCCTCGCTCAGGCCCTTTCGCCGCCGCATCTTGAGCATGAACTCCCTTGCCAGGTGCGGCGCGGGCGCTGGCTCCAGTGGACGCCTCATTACAACGTGGGGTCTGCCCCTGTCGGTCCAACAAGAACCTGAGATTACTTAGTGCACGAATGCGCACGAAACAGAACGAGGGCCGAGCAGTAGGATGGATCGATCCAACGGATCACCGGGCACATGCTCCCAGTGGTCGAAGAACGTCTGGCACATTGCCTGGCAGCAACGAAGGCATTTCAAGGCATTTGAAGGCATGTCGATATTTGTCGGACACACCGACGTATCCCAGAATCCCCCGCCTGTCCGGATGTGTGCGTTCTAAGATCCGTCTCAAAGCCAAACGACTCCATGGCCGGCAAGTAAGCGTGGACCTCAGGCTCAAAGCAGATGATGCGACGGCCAAGAACACCAGAAGAGCGGTATATGGTCCATCAAGAACCCAGAGGCTTAGGGTCTTAGGGTCTTAGGGTCTTCGGGTCTTCGGGTCTTAGGGCCGCGGCCGAGTACATCGGGCTGCCGGGCTTCGGCAGGTCTCGGATGACGTGCCCGCGCCTGCGACAGATGAATAACTCGTAAGGATCAGCATTTTGTGCACTTCCATGCTGTACAGATCTTTACAAGAAAAACTTGCTTGGACAGTCCGTCGGCCTTCTGGAGAGGACGTTATAAATGGCAGCCACGCAGTCTGCCGGGCACTCGATGTCCGAGAACCTCGGACGCAAACAGCCTACGATGTTTTGCCGCGTTGCCCTTAAGTGCCTTATAGACTTATGGAAGTGTTATTCGGTGTCCGGCATCACGGGCTCCATAAGGCGAGGGGTGGCCAGCAGGAAGGCAGAGTAGGCCACCTGAGGAACGGAGTCGGGTCAAGATGGTTTCACAGCTTCAAGGTTGGCTGGAGTAGATGAGACAAAATTGAAACAAAGTTGAAACAAGGATGCATCAACCTGAGCCTGCGGCCCGCCGCGCCGTGGGAATGATCTGGCCTCGGGCCCCGACATGAGGCTACAAGAGAGCTGCAGGCGAGAAACTCTGAGCGACATTCTGCGAGACAGACTTCTCTCTCTGCTTGTGCCCAGGCACCGCCGCCGCGCAGCACGGCGTCCTCTGCCATCTGGGCATTGAGGATCTTGAACTTGCAGCTGCGGATCTTCTCCTCAAAAAGGCTGAAGCCCAGGCTGAAGCGCTGAAGCCCAGGAAGCTGAGCCGAGGCCGAGCTGAAAAAATCAGCTGGGAAGCGGACATCGCAGAGGGGACCTTCCTTCGTGGCCCACTGGAAGCCCTGTACCAAGCCTGAATGGACGAAGACTTGTGTCCATGCTTTGCCTTCAGCAGTTCACCTCAAGTCGTGTCGGAGCCCTTCCGAGCTCTCCACTGTCCTTACTCTGCACCAACAAGCTCTTGTTGACCTGTGACGCGAAGTGAAAGCCGAGAAAGATACAATCAGAAGAACATAACCCCGGTGGCCCCAGAATCCTCCGAGCCTCGCTTGGCAGGCAGTCGTCCACCAGAACATTCGGCCCGTTCACCTCTCTTCCCACGGGACATTCCGCGCACATTCTGAGCATTCGCAGCGAGGGCAGACGAAGAATCTGTGCACAAGGGGTTTTTTGTGCGCCTCCGGGCCAAAGGCCCACACCGATCTGGAGGCCAAGAGATCCTCTCCATGCTGCTCTTCTGCTAGCGGTCACAGAATCATAGTCAATCATAGTTAACAATTTAGAACAACAAGTAGATAAACCTCTAGGGGCCCTTCAAGAGAAGTCCTAGAAGCCTGGTGTAGGAATCCAGTAGTGCTTCAAAGCAGATTCCAAAGCTTTGCTTCGCTGTCCCAGTCGTAGTTCTTGACGAAGAAGTCGCTCATGCGGCGCTTGTTCCACTCGATGCTAACCTGGCAATTGCGAACATCCGCCAACCCTCTTAAGTTTACTGCAGGGGTGTCAGCGGCGTCCCCAAACCCATTTCCCGGCTCAAACGAACCAAATCAAGTGAACCCAGTGACCTTGCCCCTGCCTTGCCCTTCTCGATATCTTCACCGAGACCCTTTTCCAAGGGCTCTGCTACCATGTAGATCCTTGGCGTGGCCGCGCAGCGATCCTTTGAAGGAGCTATGTCACCATGTCGTTGTCTCCTGGGGGCGAGGCTTGTTCTTCTTGTTTGGCGTCTCTGCAAAGCACTTCAGGGAGCTGGTTTCCTGAGCGCAACATGCGGGCGCGCCACAAAGCAGGTTTAGAGAAGCTCTTTCAAAATGCCACCACAAGCAAACACTGCGTAGCACTGCCACACATTGCACCCACCATAGCAGCCGTGGCGCCACCACCGTCTCACAAAACTCCACAACGGGATCGGCCACCTTGATCTCCAAATCGCCATAAAGCCTGACAGAAAACCGAAAGATCTGTTGCTCTCCATCGAAGAGCCGGAGCCGTGGCCTTCGAAGGTCGTGCAAGATGCAGTCCAGGTAGACTTCCCCGGTGCCCAGCAACACGTGCCTTCAGCGGAACCACCGGCAACTTTGCAACTGGCAGCTGCTAAGGCCCAAAACCGCCACACCAAAGACTGCTGCCATGCTGCTCACCACTTTCCTCCACCTCAATGAGTCAATGACGGAAGTGCAACAGAAGTGGAAGGCGAGAGGGAGAGAACATCAACGCAAAAGGAAAGAGAAACCAAAGAACGGGGACTGAGGTACGAGCTTTGGTCTTTGACAGCGGATATGCCTTGTCGATCTTCCTGCATGCGCAACATGTTTGGCACGAAAAGGGTAGCTCGAAGTGGGGTCTGAACCTTCCTTCGAGCCAATTCGCACACCAGTCGCCCTTCGATTTCCGAATGCCCCGTGCGTAAGATCCAAGGGCGGCCTCGTCACTCCAAACCCCCCACACACACCACCTAGACCATCCTAAACCCGTACCCGTACCGCAAGCCGCAAGTCAGCAAAGAGTCCTCAAACCATCCACCATCTTGGGAAGTTCGGCAGGCTGGAGCGGCTCGATGGCCACCTTGATGACCTCAGAGTCTTGCAGCTCTCAGGATTGTAGATCTGAGGGTTGTTTTCTGAGTGATGTTTTCGGGCCCATCTAGGAGTGCGAGATCCTGTGCTGGATCGCTCTGTCTTTTCAGGGCGACGTCTTGGAATACTCAGGGATGCTCTAGTCTCGCTTCGCCTTCGCCCTGCAGCGCTCGCAACCTCCCGCCTCCAGCCTGCCACCTGGAGCACTGGGTCAGGAACCGGGGTCGTGGGGAAGCGCAGCGGGCGGAAGATCTCGACCTGGGCTTGCGAAGTCGCGGCCATGTGGTCCTGACATGTGCCCTTCCGCAATCTCAAGATAACCCTGCCTCTTCCTCGTTCGAGGCCGTGGTGATGGTCGCGGTCTTCTTGATGCACGTCTCGATGCCGCCTATGAGTACCTTAGGCAGAACTGCTCAGCTTCTCTGCATTCCGAAGGCGGGCCTGTGACGCCCAGCGTCTTGAGCTCAAGTCGAGAGCTTGAAAGCCAAGCTGCCCAGTTTCCGGCTGGCACATGGCTAACTTCCACACGATACCGGCCCTGGGAGCACAAAGGCTTCAGGCAATTTCAGAAGGGTCAACTCCGTGCTCTGCCTCCAAGATCCACAAGTTTTGAATCTCCTTGATTGCCATGTCTTCATCGTCATCTAGCGAGTAGGTCTCTCCTCAGCTTTGTCAGCTCGGGCCTACTAGAGCCTTCTTCGGGCCAGGCAAAAGCCTTCGGTGCATTCAGGCTTCCCAGAATCTTCACGCGATCGCCGCGGAAGACCGTGCCAGAAAGAACACGGCCGAAGACATCGAAGGCATTGCAATCGGGCCGATGGTACTGCTTCACCACGTGGAGCATCAAGTATCCTCTAAAGAAGAGGAGGCAGATGAAGTAAATGTGCACAAGCGCATCTCCCAGAAAGCTGTAACAGCGCCATGCTCAGCCTGTGGTGTCCAGCTTCTTCATGTCTTCTGACACCGCACCATCCTGATCGCCCGAGTACAGCTTTTCCACCTGGAGGCATGGAGGCACGCCGATAGCGCTGGCGAAACAAAAAAAGAGCAAGCAGCAAGAAGTTGCCGGACCAACCTTGATCGCAGCGTTTTCCTCTCGAAACTCAACTGCTTGTCTGCCCTATTCTCTCGAGGCCCTGTACAACAGCCCACTCACAAACAGACATGTGCATCACTTGCATCTTGCCCTGGCATGTCTCCTTCGGATTGGGGATGTGCCTCACAACCTCGTGCAGGTTCGCAGGATGCTGACAACGTAAGACAATGCAACACTCGCTGCAAAACATCCGCTTTAATCCATCGCCAAGCCACCATATCGACGAAGGAAGGCAGGCCTCGACAAAACCAGGAGAGCGAGAGAGAGCGAGGGAGGGAGAGCACAGCTGAGCGAGACTCGTCTTCAGTTAAAACAAGTGCCTCCACCCGAACCAAAGTACTGCTGGAAGACTTTGCGAATCAACGCGCGGGCGTCCAGCTCATAGTCTCGCTTGTGGAGATAGATGCCAACCTCGCAGGGCTTCATGCAGAGCTGCTGATTTGAGGGTGCCCGGCACGAGGGCGATATCACCGAACATCCCAACTGACCGCACCTCCGCCAGGGTCTGCGCAAGGTCGTCCTTCTCCTCACCGAGGCAGTGAGCGAAGATCTTGTAGATCGGCTCCAAGACGAACCTGAGAAAAAGCACAACGCCTCTGTCGGCACCAGCGCAGCATTTTCAGCCCGGCGGCTGCACAAAGGATCGTGGCTGCTCCGCATCTGGAGGAGTCTTCTGAAACTTCCGCTCGTCTGCCTGTGCTCAGACATGCTCAGACTCAGCTAACCAAGGGCTCAGCGAAGACTTCACTACAAAGCAATATGCTCCACCAGCCAGGGCACGTTAAAGTACATGTCTCCCCAAAGGCATTTGGCAAGAGTCAGATGGTCAAAACTGAAGCCATGTGTTTCTGCATAAATCGCAGCATACGACTCCAAGGTGAACATCATTCCTCAGATTGGGGAACACGTCGCTGGCAACGTGGCATGTGACACTCATCTCACTCTTAGAAGTTTCCAGTATTCAATGCCAGAGACATGCCAAGACTCGGAACTGAGCAGAGGAGAAGATCACCTGGTAGCTCGAGCTTAATCCAGTTCACATGGATCTGAGAGGGCAATCAACTGTGCGGAGGATCTGACTTCACTCCGAGGTGTTCTTCCTCATGCTGTCAACCCACCGATTTTTGTAATGAGCAGCACTTCCCCGCAGCACCCTTCATCACTGCCCAAAAGTTTCGCATGGCATGGACCGAAATTGAGGCAGATCTTTCGGTCAAGCGAGAAAACAGCACACTGGGAACCAAGGCAAGACCGCTTAAGCCTTTGTCCACGAACCTATGACGCACACTCGCACACTCTGCAACACGGACTTAAGATGCAGTGCACTTAGTGCACTTAGTGTACTTGACTTAGCTTACTTAGCACTTCCGTGCCCCGCCAACAATGCAAGTCTCAAGTTGCCACATCCCAAAAAAAACAAGGACCCAGGACAGTCCAGCTGTCACTGTACACTGGCAATGCTTGGCGATTGCAATTTGGCCCCAGGCATTCCCCTTCAACGGCGAGAAGTAGACGCGCTCGTCGACTTCCGTTCCGGCCTCAGGTCCACACAGAACGCGCAAAAAAGGAGACGAAGATGCGCGGAAGCCCTGAGATCTCGGCGGAGTCATACAGCTTCTCCATGGTCTCATTGATGTCTTCAATACAATACCGCAACCTGAGAACCACCGAACGGTAAAACCTGAGTAAGATCCCCTTTTGTGGTCTTCCTCTCTCAGAAGGCGTCTGCCGTCAGGGCGCTTATGATAGGCATCTGTCGGGGGCAGCTTCAGCTCCATGATGAGACGATCGAGGCCGTTGATGACCAGCACTACCTCGGAAGGCCCAGGCCACTGAAAGCTTATGTGATGGAAAATCCCGCACAATACTATATTGCCTATCCACTGTGGGACATTCTGCGACCAGGCATCTTTCAGGTTGTCCTGAAATGCATGCTTGAGCATGCGCTCGACGTGCCTTGGCAAGCGACTTGGCCAAAAAGAAATTGCACGTTCCTCCGAGTCCCCCATGCGCATCAGCTCCAGAACAAGTTCTACTGCAACATGGCGGCTGGGTCAGCCCGACAACAACGTCAACCACAAGCACGACGCCGTCAGACAGCGCCAGAGCCGCAATCACTTCGTCCTTCACTGCAGGCTTGCCAGAAGGTCGTGGGGCGAGTGTGCGCGTGCACCACAGCTGCCGACCCACAGAGTCCTGAAAATTGCTGTGGCCGGGCGTGTCCTCAAGACCAACATGCAGCATCATGCAGCCACTCTCACACTGCACATCAGACTCTGCATCACCAGGACATCACCATGCGGCCAAGGCGCCATTGCGTGGAAGAGGTAGGACTTGTCCTGACATGAAGATGCGCTGGTTCCATGCTGTACTTCATGCATACATGTTTTTTTTTACTGAGGAGGCTTCCGACGGCTTCATGCGATTTCATGCGACTTCTCACGCTTCGTCCTTGGAATCCTGCAGCACCAAGCTCATGGAGGAGGCTTTCACGGTGATGCCACGTTCCTGTTCATCTGCTCTCGAGTCCGTGTAGCCTCGGTTTTGGCACACCATGGCACACCATGGCACACCTAGCAAAAGCCTGACCAGCTTGACGCAGTTCACCTGAGTAGGCTGAGCTGCGGATCTCCTTACCCACCTTCCAATCCTTTTCATGCGTTGCCAGCACGAGGAGATCCATGAAGGTGGTTTTTCCGTGGTGCATGGCACCCAAGAAGCAGATGTTACCTGGCAGCATGGTGAGAAATGCTACGCAGACATGCGGGCCCCCATGAGCTTCCCGATCTCAGGGCTTGAAGCCACGGCACGGACCAAGTTAGGCTTGTCCATCATGGCAGCAAGGAAGTTGAAGTCAAAGGTCGTGTCTGGCATCTTTTTCTCCAAGAGGTCCTACTTCAGGCTACGGGCTCGGCATCCCGATGTGACGCCCTGATTTCGTCTTCTTTGCATCAACTCATCAACACAGCCGAATGCAGAACGAGCCAGAACAAGCCAAGCGTCGAAATTCTTGGACTGAACGGGCGTAATGATGGGATCCGTCAGAGGCTGGGTGTCTTCCATTTGCACCAAAGCTTCTGCATCACCATATAGCTCTTCCGCATCTGGGTAGTACCTGAGTAAATTGAAGAATCCAGGTATCCTCCAAGAAAACTTGTGCACGCGTTCCTTGCATTAGTTCCGTGCGGCAGCCGGACATGCAATGAAGGCTCTTAGATGCCCCCTCGCTCAACAGAACTTCTGGTTTTATCATGCTTTTTCCATGACTTCCAGACCAGCAGCTTCTTGTCCTCGTGCAGAATAATCTGCCTGACGGCACAGGTTGTCGAGCCGCAAAGGCACATGCTTGTGGTACTCATTTACCATAGCTGCATATTGAAAAAACACGTAAAGCCCCTGAATGCGACAATGACGTTCTCCAGAATTCTGTATGATGAAACCTTCCGGGACATCATCGTGCACGGCGGCCTATCACCAGTTGCCTCCACGCCTTCCATGGGCGCATCACCTCGGAGAACACGTTCCGTCGAACATCCGCTCCCCGCAACCCCTGCAAGAAATCTAGCTTCTCCAGCGTGTTCACAGAGACACTCTGCTCAGCCCAGTCACCAACACCTGTGCCATCATCATCTCCCTTGCCCTTCTCCTCGTCGTCTAACCCTCCAAGTAAGTCGTCATCGTCCTCGTCCTCGTCATCATCAATATCGGGGCCTCGTGCAATACCATGGAATGTCATGATGGCAACGTTGTACCGATGATGCTAAACCGCCCCACACCTTGGTAGTTCCCAAACTCGTCGTACAGGCTGTCCTTTCATGGAAGGGCACAAGGACGGCACTTTAGGATGGCTCCTACACCCAGGCCTCCATAACGGAGCCGAGGCAGGTTCCAGCTGCACGAAACCCCCTTCCCCCCTGTGAGCCAATGCTTTGGCCCGGTTGACTCGAGACCTAGCTGGGCCTGGGTGGCCTTATTCAAGCAACAGCATTCAACGGCAACCCACATGATCCCACATGGCACTGTTCTCATCTTTTCCGTCGGTTCACCGGCAACTGCATGGTTGAGCCCGGCTGAACTACGGCGAGGGCGGGTACGGGCTGACAGAGTTGCCCGTGAGCTTGGCCTCAATCGTTGTCCTCCAGCAAAGAAGCGACCCCAAACGATTCAGTTGAAACAAACTGGGAAACTGCTGAGAACACTCAACAGCCCAAGCCACATTCGAGATCGGATGAAGCTCTCAAGCCTGGGCTGTTTTGGCTCGCTGCGTCAAAGTTCGGCCTAAAGAGCCCGAATGCTATAGCAGATGCTACAACGCGGCTTAGGATGGCCGATGAGGCTGTAGGGAAATTAGGAACGCTGGGGTCCAAAAGACCCTGAGGAAAGCCACAAGCAACACTCCCAATGCCAGAAGCCTCGTGGCTCACACTTTCACAATTCCACTTAAACACATATCTATACATAGACATACATATATATATATATATACCTATACTTATATGCATACCTAACTTGAACCGTCCAAAAGAGTTGCTACTATGCAGAAAAATGTCGCGAGTTAGGAACCCACATGGCTCACCAGGCTTCAATACCCAGCTGCTGAATATTTATGGTATGTTGGCCCCAGTGCTAATAACAAGTACCTCTATCAATTATAGTATTTGCATAAATTACAGTTAAATTCACATTTTTGAGGTTTATTTGGAGATCAGTTGAACTGACTAAAGTTCTCATACTATTCACCGGCCGTCAAATTTGCAATCGCACAAATAAACACAAGCTTAACACAGAACCCAATGACCTTGTGAATATTGAAACGCAGAGTGTGCTGCTATAAGTTCTGCTTACGACATAAGGAAGACTATGTCTTGGTTTCAAAGCCATGTTCTGCTTTTGCGAGAAACAACAGCTCTACTACAAAATCCGAGCCCCCCACTTAAATTTATTGATTTGAGCTAAACTTTGAGGAAATCTTGAAAAGATTTATGTCTTGCGGTGCAAGATAGATCTGCTTATGAACCATGCTATCTTGGATCCAACCTGCACCATGTTGGAAAATTGAATTGCAACGTGGCAAGACTGACAAGTGACTCCAGGGCTCCCTATTGGAGATCAATCTTGGACCAGGGGTCCCAAGTAATTCTGGAACGGCAAAAATCCAATATGGCTCGGCCCACAAAAGCCTGCCAGATCCACTGTCCTGGGCCCCCGGGAAGTTCAGCTGGTGTCACACGCTGCCTCTGGCATCTCCTTGTTGCCCAAATTATTGGCTGGAACGTGTTCGGAGTTCATGGCTGAGAATTCACTTCGCGAATTCTGCGTGTTTTTTTCGGGTGTTTTTGCTTCGGCCCCTAGTTGCAGCGGCCCATAGTCGTAGGCAGAGGTGGCTTCGGTGATCAGACTGACCCGAAGCAGTAAGACGATAAGAATTCGCTGAAGGTGGAATGTCCATGATCACATAAGGTCGGCTATTGATGCAAAGCTTCACGTGCACACGCAGACGCCAGAGCTTGTGAACACGATGCCATGAGACACTTGCACATGTGCAAGTGTTCCTGACACGAACTTGTCTGGATGCTGGGGCTGCGCAAATCGTCTAACTCTTGTTGCAAATCTGCTGCTGGTTGACAGGGAACGGTTTGCAATGCAAAGAGCCCTGACTCGGATCGTCTTCAACCCCTAGACCACCAACAGCGTGAAGCACGATGTCCGTATCGACTTTTCGGCTTCTTGTAACGGTTTGTCCGCTGACGTGACTCGGGGTGTTGGAAGAAGCCCCAGCCAAGCTTAGCGGTCGCAGGATCATGGGTTCACAGAAGCCATGGCTGCAAGGAGGACATGAGTCTTGCGCAAGAGCGCAGCATCCTTTCAGAACGCAGGTTCGAAGCGTCGCTGTCCAAGAGCCCGATAGGCAGGAACATACGTCCCTACACAGTTTTGCGCGATCCCGAGCGATTGAAGTAGGAAAAGCGCATCACAGCGGGATTTGGACCACAGAGTGTGCACAGGACAGCTCTCGCGATTTGCAACGTCCAGCCACACGAAAAACATGTATTCACGATACCATCTGCGACCCCTGAAGTCAGCATGATTTTGACCCAGAACGACGACCAGATGTGGCCAGCATCCTATCGCTACTTGCTCTCAACTCTCAACGTGGGAACCCCACGATGTTGCCAGAGGGCTTGGGGAAAAAAGAAAAAAGTCACAAGACATATAACACAGAGAACCTGTCCTCCGTACCCCAACATATTGACGCCTCTAAAGGCTAGCTTCTGCGCTGCCTCCTGAAGGTACTCTTCCAGGAGTTCCTGGAGGTGCTGTCGAACCAGTCGCACAAACCTGCGCTGCCCGCCTCCAAGTATCCTTCCAAGAGCAGCTGCAGCTGAGCCTGCACCTGGCAAGAAAGGGCCGAAGCCCTCTCGAGCCAGTCGCACCTGGGCGAACTGACCAGTCCATGTGTCTTAGCCGTGCGTCTTGCCTACCAACTGCACATGTGACAACGATGCAGCCTCTGTCTCTCTGTCCCTTTGACCCGCCTTGTTGTATCTTGTGCTCCCACCCGAAATTCTCCATCCCACACCACTTGCCGCCCCAGCTGCCTACCTCGCTGTCATAATCAAGCACGTCCAGCAACACCGCATTTTACCCCACCGATCTGGATGTCGCGATCGTTTCCTGGATTTACCGCACTCTTCAATTTGACTTATTTACTTGGGCGCAGGTCCTTGGCGTGCAATCCGCACAACAGATATTCCAAAAGCACAAACGGGCATGACCGTGAACGCCTTAATCCCCCAACCGTAAACCCACCCCAAGGACTCCTAACTAAACCCACCTTGTTTGGAAGCATCCTGACGACAACATCTGACGACAATGTCGGAGAATGTCCACCCGAGCTCAGCAAGCCGATTGCTGAGCACCTTTTTTTGGACACGCGGAGCATCAATCAGGATCAATCAGTGGCGCAGCACCTGAGGCATATACCTGCAGAGGTGCTGGAGCAGCCAAACTAGCTTTGACACAGAAGCTCCGTCTGGTGAGTTTCTGCAAGCCACTCTCAGGCGATGCAAAGCCGAGCTGCGAGGTTGCTCCGCCCGATCCTAAACCGGCGGCTATGAGGCCTGCGCGTTTGCCGCGGTAAGGGGGTGGTTGATGGCCTTGACGGGCAACAGTGTTAACGATTGCTGGTTGCATTATGAGTTCATGCCTCAAATTTGACCTCCTGCAGTCTCCCAGCAAAACACATGACATATCATATAACTTCATGTTGAGATGGTGGGTGCACGCGACACGGGGAGGGGGTTCAGTACTCTACGTGGGAGCTTCACCAATGCGAACGGCGTGTTGTAAGGCGATAGCTGGAAAGGATATAGAATCAATAGCAGCGCAGTCTGGATCCGGAATGCGTGAAGTTCGTCATGCTCGAGCACAACGGCCCAAAAGCCGAGAAACATCACAGATAAGCGGGGGCGCCGATTGCGCACATGATTGTTTGAAAGTTCGTCGAGGTGGGGATATTGCGCATGGTATGGTATGCCAGCTGCAGAAGTAAACGATGCATCACTCGTTTCGCGTGAAGCTGAGCCAAGTTGGCGACATGATTTACCGTCTGAACTTCGGAAATGTAAAAAACCAGAAGTAGTATTCCATAATTTGTGGCTGTCAAATCAAAGAAAGCTAGAGGCCCGCTCGTGTCTTTCTACAAGCAACTGCTAAACATACGTAGTTGTGCTTCAAACGGCCTTTTTGCTTCATATTGGGGCACAGGGCTTAAGGGTTGAGATTGAAAAATGTCCAGAACTTTGTAAAAACCACTTGAAAGGTTTTTCGACATCGAAAACTGAAGATTGAAGATCCCACAGGAATTTCGCAACCTTTATCTAGAATTGTCGCTGTGATGACAAAAGCTCAAGACATTCCAAAAAACTTTTCTGTGGGATCTTCGATCTTCAGTTTCAAAAGAACCTAATTTGTTTTGAAACTTTGCATTGTTTAGCCAAATCGAAAAGAATCTGCTTGCTCAGGTCCGTGCCTAATCAGGACCAAAAATCAACTTAATCGTGGACTTACAGACTTACAGACTTACATACTCACATACTCACATACTCACATACTCACATACTGACATGCTTACATACTTACATACTTACATACTTACATACTTACATACTTACATACTTACATATTTGCATACTTACATACTTACATACTTACATACTTACATACTTACATACTTACATACGTACTTACGTAGTTACAGACTTACATTCTTATATACTTACATACTTACATACTTACATACTTGCATACTTACATACTTACATACTTTACATATATATATATATATATATACAAGTCACATGTCTATAAACTCTCAAACCCCTCTTCCCTCTTTTTCCAACAACCAGCCCTGCCGGGCCCCCAGGCCCTTGGTGGCTGTGGACCAAGTCGGCCTCTGCAGAAATCTCGGTCTCGAGAAAAATCTCGCAAAGAAATCAATCCACCTCGCTCACTCTCTCTCGCGCTCTCTCTCTCTCTCTCTCTCTGTATCTCTGCCTCCCTCGTTTTGTTGGGGGATCCTTTTTGGGACTTGGAAGATGGTCCATGGGTGGCGTAGGGTGGCTTCGGGTAGCTTAGAGTGGAGGTTTGCGCTGCTCTTGGGTCAGCCAAGTGTTTTTGAAAACCTTCTCAGGGCGCAAGGTTTTGGGGGCTTAGGATTACGCTCTCAGGGTAAGGAATCTGTGGTTCGAGAGTGTGAAAAGACAGCGCGCCCTTGGGGAACTTCAAGCTCTCAGGATCTCCCAGGGTTCGTGCTCGCCTTCTCCTGCTGCAGCCGCTCAATGTTCTGGCGGAGGCCCTGGTTGGCCAACAAGACCTGGCGACACTCATGAAGCCCACACCTTCCCAGGAAACTTTTGACCCCGGAAGCAAAAGCTCTTTCTGAGCCTGTTGAACAGCCTTGGATACCTCTTCGTCGGCTTCCTGATGGCGTCCTCAACGATTTTATGAATTTCTTTCACAGCATTCCGCGTTTTCATTCCACGCATTTTTTCCTGCCCCCCACCCCCCCCCCCCTCCTCGGCCGCCTCCGGGGCCTGGCTCGCTTTGGAGCTCAAGCCGACCAGGTCTCTGGTCTTCTGCCAAGCGGAGCCTTAGGGGCAGACAGAACCGCAGACTACGAAACTCCACAATTCTGGGCGCACGGCATCAAGTTCTGCGATCGACGCCACTCCGCCTCACATGGACGAGATCCTACGACATCCATGCTGACGCCCTCTGCTCCGAGGGCTTCCTGGCCTGCTGGCGACTTAGGATCTGGTTCTCCTTTTCCAGCGCAGCAGCCTCCCCACAAACACTATCAACATCACGTTACGCGCCAGAGGCTTAGTAAGAGTAGGTCACAAAGGATAATGAAAAGTTGTGCAACAGACACAGAAGGTGGAACCCCGCACCGTAATGCAAGCTGCCGGGGTCTGGTCAGCTGCAGCGCTGTGGCCGCCTGGGCATGCAAGTCGTCGATCTCGGCCACGGCCTGGCCTGAAGAGCCAGGCCCGCAAGGCAATGGCAAGAGCTTCACACACAGAGAGAGAGTGCACACGCGCAGTGAAGATTTATCGGGGCAGCCAGAGCATGCGCACCTGCTTCCTGGATTTGTCTCCGGACCTGACTTCTTAAGAGGGAGGTGCCCTCAGAGAGACAAAAATGCACTCTTCCAATGATTCAATTTCAGCATGTTCAGCTCCAAAGCTTTGGGCTCCGGCCGCCTGGGCCTTCTGGCTCCGACGCCGTGTGGCCTCCTCTGCAGACGGCGCGTTCTCAAAAACCTAGGAGACTCAGTCGGCGCCTCCACCAGCAAAAGCTGCTCGGAAAGCCTCAGGAACAGAACGAAGTGCGCGAAGTAGCGCGGAGGATATAAGACAAGTTGGCCGAGACCAGGGCTCCTCCACTTCCCTCTGCACCTCACAGCTTCACACGCAAACCTGTCGACCACCTTCCACCCTTCCAGCCTTTCCAGCCTGCCACACCGCCGAATCCTCTCTGAGCTCCTCCAAAATCTTTCCCTTCCTTTGGCGCATGTGCACAATCTGTGGCACACAATCTAAGCCAGCAGAGAAGCAGGAGGGAAACAGAGAGAAGAAGAGAGACTGCGATGACTGCAACTCGGCAAGCGGCTCAAGCTCCAAAGCGGCAAGGAGGTCGTCGAAATGCGGAGTTCGCCTTGGTGAGACATAGAACCTTCAGCACCCTTTCGGTGAGCGCAGGACAGGACAGTCCTTCTGCAAAATAGGACAATTGGCAGACTTCCTGTCGCAACCAAAGCATCGGTCGTCTAACCCAATGGAACGTCACGTGGGCAGGCCACAAAATCCGCAAAATCCGATGTCGATGTGATCAACATGGTTCAGAATGCCTCAACAACAGTTCAAAACACAAGACGAAGTGGACTGCTGGCTTGAGGCGACCGCAGCACTGGATGATTTGGAGGAAGGGAGTTGCGGAGCTCGCGCTCCACCACCTTGACAAAATTTGACAAAGCATGTCACAATTGTCTTCAGCATCATCGCAAGCATCTCAGCATGCTAGCACACTTCAGCGCACCTCTTTGGGTGGATGCTCCTCGGGCGCTGCTGAGCCTTAGGGAACAGGGAAGCAAAGGGCGGCACCTAACAATTGCGTTCACCACTTCTACGAAGCCCCGAAAGCCGAGAGAATGTCAGCAGATTCTGGGCAAACTGCACTCTGCCTTCAAAGACAAGATTTCTGCTCGCTTCGCCTCCATCTCCTCTCTTTGCAACGGTTCTGGGCTTTAGATGGCTTGACTCTTTGCTAACGATAGCCTCGAATGCCACCTGCTCGCTGCCACGCTCACTCCTGTGAGGACTTGCGCAACTCTACTCGATGAAGCACGGGACCCAACACAAAAAAAAAAAACACTGCGAACACACACACACACACAGAAATATATGTATAGACACACACAGACACGCTGTTCAAATTTCCGTGTCGCGAGCAGCTTTTGTTAGATGGCAGCATGGACGGCGCAGAAGTGCCGTGCGAAGAGTCTCCACTACTCTCTCTCATTATCTCTCTTGAGATTGTTTTGTCATGGCTTCAGATTCTCGTCATCTGCGGAGCCCGGAAGCAGCCCGCACGACCAGGCGGAGCTTCTCAATCCCAAAGAAGGCACAAACCATGAAGGCAGGGTCCATACCGGGGAGCATCTCGATGATGCGCGGACCTTCTCCATAGACCACAGCAACCATGCGGCCATTACCATCGTAAACGACCAGCCGCTGTTCCTGAAGCATGCCCTCGAGGCGGAAGAGGGTGTGCCCGGAGGCGGACTTCAGCGAGTATCGCTCGCGATAGGTAGCCAGCTGGTCTGGAAGTAGCATGGTCCCAGTGTGAATGTGATCCTTGGAAATGTTTGCAAAGAGGCAATCGTCCGCAGAATGGATCTCAGGAGGTCGTGCATGGCTTTCGGCCAGGTGGAGCCTGTTTGTTCTTACCAGGCCAACAAGCTCTCTGTCAGGCTTCTCCAAGGACATGCCGGCATCCTCCAACTCATCGAGGCGCATGTTCAGGAGAACCTCATCACCTTCAAGGATCTGCCACGTGTGCTCCTGCCGTTCACCCCTCAAAGGGACCGTGAAGTCACAAGTCAGGTACCTCATGCTTCGATTAACAAGACTGGGACACAAGGCTGGATAGTTTGGGACAGAGCTGGCGTGTGGAAGAGCCAGCACACGGCCTGCATCTGCCCCACAAACGCTCCTTTGCTTCCTGGAACTCTCACTGAGACTGGGATCTGGCTTCTCAATCCCTGCCTGCGGCCCTGCCTGTTTCCTTGTAAATGCTGGCGAAGGGCCTGTTTCCGCCCGTGCCTTTTCTGTGACATAGGCGGCAACAGAGATGGCAATGCCACCCAGAATCAATGATATTAGCAAGAACACCAGCAAGTCGCCTCCGAACGATGAGGCGACATGGTTCACGCTCGAGACTGTGAAAGAGGACAAGGCGGCGTACGTACCCAAGACCTTATTGGCAACCGCCACCTGTATTAAAGTCAGATTTCTCCATGTCAATGTTGGATCCTGGCGCGAGATCACAGGTGAGCCATGGCTTTGAACCAAAGATCTGCCCACCACTGCGCAACTTGGAAGCTCATCGCCATGTACCAGCCAGACAGTCAGCACAAGCACAAGTGCCACAGCTCCTGTTGACATGAGACCATTAGAGGCACAGGGCCACTGCTCAAAGAAGGGGAAAGTCGAAAGTCACACGCAACCAGGACGTGGTTTCAACCGCACTGGCTGTGTCTTGGACCAAAAAATATACCGGTGGTCAATGTGACTGACTATGTTGCATAAAGGCACCAACATCTTAAAAGATCGCAAGCAGCTCACCAAACACGCCCTTTCCATGGAGATGCAAGCCTCGTTTCATCGCTCAGTTGCTGTTCTTCAGCCTCGTGGATCTCATGCATACTCAGAAAAATCTGAAGCTTCAACTGAGGAAGGCACACGCAAACGTTCGAGGACGTCAGAGCACGTTGCACCCTGCGCCGTGGCTCGCATCGTTGAATCACAGCACCGCTCAGCCAAGTGCTTGGCCGCCCTGCCTGTTCCAAAGCCTGTGCGTCCAGCTCCAATTGAGCCAGGCGCAACTGCAGCCTGCGAAATGCGGCACAAAGCAGTTACTTTTAAAGGCAAACCCGCAAAGCCGGAGCACGGATGCTGGCTGCCCACTGGGCTGCTCGGCATCTGGGCCTGCCAACGATGCAAGGGCCCAAAGAACCCGCAAAAGGCCACCACTACGAGTTGCTGAAACCTCCGGCCGCCTGCAACTGCTGCAAATGCTGTAACATTTCTTGGTCTTTGCGTCCCTCGAGCTGACTCGTGGCCTGCAAGCTTCTGCCGCTTCCGAATGCTTCCCATCTTAAGGGGGGCAGAACTGGTGCTAAGCCACGTGAATCACGTGAAGCCAATTCACCATACTTCGGGAAGGCCTCAACCTCGAGCCGCTGCAAGCGCCCCTGTTGTTGAGCCTCTGCTTTTTGCAGTTCCTCTGCAAGGACGGCCTCCTGGATCAGCTGCCCTTGAAGGGTCAGCACCCGGGCACTTTGATTGCATTGGGCGTTCGCCATGCTGGTTCACATCCTGAAGCTGAAGCCTAACAAGCTTAACACAGTCTACCTCTAAGCAAGCCACCATATGCCATATTGCCTCAAGACTCTGGAATGTGTCTGCGGGCTGGAATCTGGCTGACATGCTCGCAAGGTACGATTCTGCAAACATCTATGTGACACTTTCAACAATAGCTGCGGCAGAAATATGCGCGTGCCTCACCACAACACTACACGTTGCGAAGCTTGAAAGAACGGATTTTTTTCTTGAAATCAAAAAAAGTTCCAATCCATTTGCATGCATTGCAACATATTGCAGATCGAATACATGGTGCCGGTACTGGTACTAGTTAGCGGATAGTCATGCCCAAAACTGGCCATCAGCAACAACAAAAAAGGGCGTAAAGCAAAGTGGGGCATCCTTTTGATATGCCGTCCGAACATCACAAGCCCATCATCCCAAACCCTGTAAACCCAAACGCCAGACTCCCCAAGTCACAAGCCTACTGACGACAAACGTTAGGGTTTCAACGAACGGCCCGTTGACACCTGGATCCAGTTGCTGCGAGGTCCGCCCTTCAACGAACCGCCCTGCGCCACAAAGAAGCCTCTTTGCAGGGAACTTCTCCGTGGCCTTGCGGGTCATCGATAGTGGGGTGGGCAGTAAGCCGGCCGCACTTGGTAGGGAGGTGCGGTAGGGAATGGTGCAAGGTGAGCTGGGTAGGTCGGTCTCAAAGCCACCGGCTGTGGCACAGGCTGCGGATAGTGGGCCGGCACTGGTCCTGGTTGCGTGGCGCGAGGTTGCGGTCGGTATGGTAATGGGGAGACGGGGGTCGGGCATATTGCGGCTGCTGTGGTGGAGGATGATGGGGAGGATGGGTTGGATGCTGTACAGCATACTGAGCAGGGTGATGGGTGCTGGGCCGGGTGCTGATGTGGGCGCAGTGGGTGCTGAGGCGGGTGCTGCTGAGGGTGTTGATGGGGGTGGTGCTGCGTGGCGGGTTGCGCCGCGTAGCTTGGGTAGGTCGGATTGGCTGCGAGATTTCCGGGCAGAGGCTGAGCAGGCTGTTGTTCGACTGCCCATAGTACCTGGTCCAGCTTCCCGATGAGAAATCTCTACCATGGTAGCGCAAGAAGCTGTCAATGCATCACGCTTGCCATTGTGATGGTCAAAAGAGCCCCCACATGCTTCGAAGTACATTCATGTTATGTCTGCTTGCCCCCACAAAATCTAAGGCCCTAGCCCTCACCCTGCACCCCCAAATGCAAGCCCTCATTCGCAAGCCTGCAAAGCAGAAAGAGACCCTACACCCTTGACTTGAACTGCCAGTTGGCGGTCTCCCTTCCCAGAGCCACTACGTGGGTCACGTAGCTGGCGCACGTCCTGGAGAAGCCGAACAGGCTTGCTGTCGCTTCGGGTTAATTTAAGCTTTAGGCATAAGGCTGTTGCTGCATGTGAGGTTTCGGGTTGGGCCTGCGGCCTCCGGCTTCGGAGTTAAGCTGACTGTAGGGCTAGAACAGAGCCAATATTCGGCCTTTGCATTGGCCTTGCAGGGGGCAGAGGTTGCAGGCGCCGGGCCTGTTAAGACTAGCAGACTAATTAGCAGAAACAATGACACACACACACACACAAGTAAGATAAATGTGTTGTCGACCGCGTCCCAATTCGAGCCATATTAAAGCGGAGGTGGAAGCAAACGGCGCTAATGATGTTCGCGCACACGCGCGTGGGGAGAGGGGGGGAGGGAGGAGGGAAGGAGGGAGGGAGGGGACGGAGGGAGGGGGGGAGGCCCCTTGAAACCTGAAGGGTCGTCTGGGGATCTGGGCTGCTGGCTGCCTAATGAAGCGGACTGCGGGCTCAAGGCGTGTAACGACATCATTCAGCATGGCCAGTCGTTAGAATCCTTGAGGTTGTGCCCCTGAGGCCGGAGCGTTGATTACAGCATTGAGGGCCTGAGCGCATGCATCTTTCTGGCAACATAACGTAAATAATCAGCTCACTTTCAGCTCACTTTCAGCACCATCAACGCTTTCACGAAGCTCAATGCTTGTGGCAGCGTTGTCCGGAACATGAATAATCTTCGTCATTCGATTGCGACAACTGCTGATGCTGCTCGATTGTTCCCTTCTTGCGGGACTTTTCCTTGATCAGCTGTGAATTGAGTGCCTCAACATGTCGTTTGGCCGGCATGAGCTTTCTTCCCGGCCACCTCGCGCCCTTGAAGTCTTTCCTGCTCCAGCGGTATGGAGATCCAGTGTCACGATCGACTGCTTCGCATCGAAGAACGCTCTGATAGCCTCCTTCAACGGAGAGGGTATCGCAACAGATTCCTCGCGGGCGCTTGCAATGTTGGAGTATCCTTAGGCAAGGGCAAGGCGACTTTAGAGCCCGAACGCTACGTCGAAAGGTACCAGCCTAAAACTTTGACAACGAAAACAAGCGCTTGCACAACGAAGCACTGCATGAAGGTCATCAGGCCCTGTTTGGGTGTCTGCTCGCTCCCAAAATCATATCTTACAATCCCCCTAGGGTTGTATGTCTGTTAGGTGGGCCATAGGTGAATTGTTGGTCCTCGTTCTGGTCAACAGTTGGTGGTCATTTTGGTGGGTCCATGGGGGAGGCTCATGGTTTTCCAGGGCGCTATTTTAGCGTTTCTGTGGCGTGGCGGGGGGCTTGACAGGGCCTGGATTTTGGGTTTAGGGCCGGACTAAACCTGCGAAATTCCCGGAGCCAAAACCCAAAGATCAAGATCCGTAGCATCCTAGAACCCCAGAGCATAATTTACACTGTCAAGTTTCTTAATTATATGGGAAAATACAAGCGCACCTGGGTGCGCTATGTGAAGGCTGGGCTAAATATCAAAGGAACACCACGTCTTTGCCACATAACATAAATGCAACACATTTGCAGCCAATGACGCGCCGTTACCGCACTCCACTGCTGTGAGGCCGCTAGCTGGGAAAAGACGCGGAACCCGACACTAAAACCCTCTACCTTAAACTCCTGCGGCGGGCTCGAATATTGCAAATGTAATGAGATATTATATTTTAACATAAGTTGTGTGTTTGACTGCCTGTTTTTTTTTATGAATGCTATGGATTAACACGGGCATCCAGGACGATTTTGTTTCTCACAAATCTTGCATGTTTTCGCTGAACATAGTCTACGACAGGTCTGTTGATAAGGCTATATTGTGGCTCTGTTGCCAATAGCGTCACACGGTGTGACACGGTGTGACACTATTACGTATGGACCCTGCGACACGGTGTGACACTGTTTGACACTATAAACTATCTGACACTGTTTGACACTGTTTGACACTGTGTTGCTGAAATAGCGTCACACGGTTTGACACGGTGTGACACTATATTTTTCAGGCTGTAACTATAAGGGTTTTTAAGGAACATAATCGCTCTAATACACCGCAACATGCGAGGTGAATCAGTCATCTTAAGAAGTGCTGCAAGATCAAGGCAATTACAGGTAGCATCTGTAAATGACGAAAAGTTACCAGTTATGAGTTCTAAGTTCTATGTTGTATGTTATACGAGCAATGCAACGCAAGTACTGGCACGGTATACGAGTGGTAAGCTATAAGTATTTATATGTTAAGGCTAGGTGACTGAATGGATAGGGATACCCGAGGGAAGAATCACCAAGTCTCCTTCACCAGCTGTGCGGCGTGCATAATTGTCCAAGGAGAAGCGTTGGCGAGGTTTCATTTGGCCCATTTCGAAGGTATCACTGTAGGCCAAGCGGCCTGTCAAAATTTGTTGCTCAGCCTCACGCGTTGCTGCTTGCTTGGCGGAGCGTTTTCCCGTCCTGGGCGTATGATGGGTAAATTGGGCATTAGGCTTCTGGAGCGCTTAGCAGAGGTGGCTCAAAGACGGCGCAAAGGTGGTTCCAGCGTGGATGGGAGACAGCGACGTGCTTCAGAGTCCAGAAGTGCCGGGCACTCGCAAACTGCGCAAAAGTTTGCCATGGACCTCTCTAGCGGATTCTGGTGTCAGCGGCGGCTGCGCAGCAATCTTGAGAGCATCCAAGGTACACGGTTTGTGTACGTTGTGTAGCCTGGACGGTTGTAGAACGTGTTTCATCGTCGGCTTTAAAGTAGTAGACGTGGACGGCTAGACATGCTCTTGCTAAAGCATTGGACAACAAAGCAAAGGACGTGCCATTCAAAACCAAAGCTCGCGACAAACAATCGTCACTGGCTGTGTGTATGCTACATTTGCGTTGCAACGCAGGACCTGTTCCTTTGACTTTGCACAGCCTTCACATAGCGCACCCAGACGCGCTTCGGATTTTCCCATATATAGTTCACAACAAACTGGGGTCTCTGGGCGCGAATATGCTACGTCTGCTACGTTTGTGTCGCGTGCTGTTCCTCTGACTTTGCACAGCCCTCACATAGCGCACCCAGGTGCGCTTTGTGTTTTCCCATATAGTTAACAAAACTGACGCGCCTGACCAAGTATGAATTACGGAGCTGCCACTCGTAGAACAGGTTCAAAGCAACCAAGCAAGTATCTCGGTGCGAATATGTTGGAGCTGCGCAGCCTGGCAATGCCATGTTGTTCCCAATTCTTTGCACCAGCCTTCACATAGCGCACCCAGGTGCGCTTTGGATATTCCCATAAGGTTCACGACAGGCGTCTCTGGGTGCGAATATGCTGCGTCTGCTACATTTGTGTTATGTGGCAAAGACGTGCTGTTCCTCTGACTGGTTTGCTATGGGTCACGGGGTTGGGCCATGTTGTGAGCATCATCGAACTGTTATCGAACTTCCACTCGCAACTTTTGCCCCAGAGTACCGGGGCGAGGCCTAGGGGGAAGCCTCGCCTGCCCGCATTTCCTCCACTTTAGCACCAGATCATCTTGAGTCAAGCTATTCACCCAACCCCAGGCACGGTTAAACACCTGACCGCACCTTCTTCACCCGGCTGCCTTTGTCGGCAAAGGAGCTGAAATGCAATAGGGCCAAAACTTTTTCGTCGACACGTTCAATGCAGCACCCACA